TATGTAATGTGCTATATGACAAACAGGTCTGCTATACAAAAGCAAAAAGGCGAATTTGCACTTTAAGATCTACCAAGATACCAATCCTCTATTTAGGTCCATCCAGACATACACTTCACTTCATTGTAATTATGGATGTCTGTAATGTTTCTAGATGTCTCAGTCCTGTTAGCATTGTTTTCTAGTTAATAGACAATGGAAATAGTGATGCACTTGGTTTTACACAATTGCAGCCAAAACTTGAGTGTAACCAGTTACCTTTGCAATCAAAATGCAGTTCAGGTAGCTAATTTCAATTAAATTAAGAATAAGTAGATTTTGCAGTTGTAGCAGATGTATAATCCTAACTTAAGAGCTATGACTGTTTAGCCTGTACTGGATGACTTCATAGCATCCTTTTCATTAATTCCATCACTTAAATCGTTGACTTCACACATTCCATAAAAAGAATTTTCTTCTAATCTTAACATTTTTTCCAACTCAAATGCATCTAGTTTAAAACATTGGATCCTTACTAAGAACCACCAGCATGACTTTTAAAATAATTAAGGGGAAAGAAGACAGGAGGGAATCAAATAGTATATGATTCCATTATCTCCATACCTATCAGTGCAAGAATTTTCTTAGTTCTGTAAACAGTGTCGTAAAGTCTCTGAACTCCTAGTGGCCATCATCATAGCCCTGGTCACACCCAGCTCTTAATGCTAACAGGAGCAACATAACTACTCACCCTTTCAGAGGACAGTCTTAAATCTCTCTAAACTGTGTTTTATTGGATTTTTTTCTTTAACCTATTAACAACCAATGGAGATCTATCTGAGTTTTCTAATAAAGAACTCTTTTTAGTGATTAACTGATCTGACAATAAAGCATTTGAAAAAAACTGAAACTGCCTTGCAACAGAATAGTTCTCACTTCCCTCTCTGTTCTCTTTGTATACACAGCTTTCATAGCTGAACTTCCCAATTTCATTCTAAGGCCATATTTTTCTAATGATCTTAACTGATTTATTTCTCATTTGCTTTTCTACTCCAATCAAATATAATTTTTTTCCTTTCTCTTCCTTTTTTTGCTATACATGCAGAAAAGGGAGTAATACAAGAGTCCTAACATATAAAACTAGATAAAAATGTCACCATTGTTAATATTTGCTAATTCTGCATCTTCTAAACTATTTATTATGGATCAGACTCTTGCTTGAATGTGAAAGAATTTGCATGCCTGTGTAGTCTCCATGTTATCTGTTAGCTTCCAGGTTCTTTTAGACGTTTCACCCAAGTCTTGCATGAAAATCTTTCTTTTAGTCCTGTTGATAGTAATCCTAAGAGTTCGATAACTGCAGTCTTTACAATATCTCTTAACTTTTGTTCTACCTTCTCCTACACGATGTTCTGCTGATTTTTTTCAATTAAAAAAGTTTAGTATAATGCAGTTGCCCTGTTTCTGCCTGTCAATAAGTACCTGTGATTGCCCTTGTGTTACCTCTTAAATTACAAGCTGCCTCTAAATATCCACAAAGTTCAGCTGTTTTAATCCAGACTTCTGTAATAACTATTTTACCATGATGTTTACAGAAAACTTTAGAAGTCAGCAGGCAACAAAAGGTGTAAGACTGATACTTTTTCTTTGTGTTCTTTTTTATCCTTCTTGTATATTGGCTGTGCATGGACTGTGCATGAAGGCTCTCCTTCAATCTGTTAATACATGAATTCACTTTATGCAGCATGATCCTACTACAGTAAATGAGATAAATTCCTGATGTATACCTATGGAACATTCACAGCAAGTTTCAGGCTGGGTAATTTAGAAGATTATTAATTTTTACAAACATGAGAAATTCGAACCACCTGGTCACCTCCTAGTACTCAGTGTTCTAAGCAATGTTGCATTGATTCCACACAATGTTCCCTGTACTTCAGTGTAATTTGAGGTGATTTGACTCAGGTGACTGAAGCGGCCCTCTCTTAGCTCAGCCTTCTTCCTTTGCTGTGTCATGAGAAATAGCTGGACACTGAAACCACAGAGATAGACTTCATAAACAAGAACAGAAAAGTTAGGAAGTAAGAAAAATAAGAGGAACTAAAATGAGTTGAAACCTCATTTTTCTCAGAATAGTCTGAGTGTCTCGAGAGTTGTAAGATTGCTCTCATCTGCAAGTCACTGCTCTGAAGTAGGTTGAACAATCAAGAAAAGTCTTTGCTTTTTTTCAGTCTTCCAGTATAATCTATAAGATGGATATGTAATGTAGTCAGCAAGAAGCATTAAGTAACACTACCATAGGATGCAGCAAGTTAGACCAAATCTGTGTTAGGTCTTAGGTTTGTCTGGGACTCAGTACTTTAGGACACAAGAATATCCACTGTCTATTGTCTGAATGGGCCTATTGGAATCCCTGTAGTTTTGTGATAGAGCATGTTAGCATTAAAGAAGTGGTAAATCTCCCTACATCGACACACCTGATGGCTACCTGATAAAGAAAGAACCAGTCAGCCATGTCATCAGTTTATGCTTCTACACTGACTCTTACACACCCTGTTACATCATGGCTGTGTTGCCAAAATCAGTGGTTTTTTATCTGTGCATACTAACATTTGCAAGAATTAACTGTATTTGCTCTGTAGAAAAGTAAAATTAGTTAAGCTTGCTGTTTTAGCATCTTTTACAACTCCTCAAACAGCCTTCAAAAGAAACAGTTCTCAAAGATGACTGACTACTGGAGGCAGCTGTCCAAAGCCACAAATATGAACACAAAAGGACAGTTCTAGTTCCTTGGTGGACTGTATGTTTTACAAGTACTTTAGTACTGAACTAGTGAATAAAAAGCACTGGAGAAAATGTGTGAACTGAATATTGATGCAGAAAATTCATGCTCTCTACTGTCAACGCACAGAAGTAGAATACTGCTAATGGGCTGCTTTTTGGTCTGTTGATCCTAAGAAGCATTCTTGTTTAGTTAATTTAGTTAAGGTCTCTATACTAAGGACTGTAATTTCAGTGGAAAAGCAGCACCTGATAGTAAATGATTCTGAATCCTCAGAGTCTCACCTTTCAATTCAAAACTGCCTTAACTAATAATTTTCATTATTCTCTAGAATGTATTTACTGATCTGTGGATGTTACTAGTTCCCTTTTTAAGATTCCTGGATGCCTGAGCAGCAAAGCTCACTTGTCTGTGAGTGACAGGATAAAAAGAAAAGAAAAATGGTCTGACTCACTGTTTCTTATGCATTGATTTAAAAAAAAAAAACAACCAAACAAAACCCAAACAGCACTGCAGTAGGCAGTATTGCAGAGAGTATATTTGTGGCAACGGATCCCTTTATAGTTTGCCTGGGTTAGGCATAGCTGAGTATGAGGCACTTAACATGAAGTCACTGCTCCCAAAATGCTTGTTGAATAGCAAATGGCACAAAAAAAAAATACTGCTTCATTCATGAGATACATGATAGCACACAGAGAGATGGTTAGGAGTTTAACCCAGTTCTTAATAAGAAGATTGATTATAGCTAGGTGTAGAGCACAGACTGATAGAAAGGAAAATTCCAGTCAGGTAGCTTGTACTAAATTCTGTCTGGGTCTTTTCCCAACCTGCAAGTTGTGAAATGCTTGGCTCCCTGTGGCCGAGAACTCTAGTTCAATTGCAATGCTCGTGTGCTTATTATCTCCTCATCTGTTCTGTGTTGTTGTTGAATAGTGAGTGACGCCTATCTCAAGAACAGATTGGGAAATACAGCTTCACTTTTTTATGCAGTAGATAACTCAAGTTGCTGCTTTTATTGTGAGATAATGCCACATTGCTATATTGAATATACTAATAGCAATTAAAGAGCCATTAGTGGTGTGAAAAAAGAGTGGTAGGTGGATGGGGTAGTCTAAGGGATTTCATCTGCTGCTTACTCTTTGGTGCAAACAAGGTCCTGCTGAAGTTTTGTTTACTTTAATTTTAGTGAAGGAATTCTATTGATGGAAAGCCCTCCGTGGTGTGGACTCTTCTCCTACTGAGTAGAAAAAATCACTTTTTCATAACAAGCAGAAATACATATGCAAAGTTTAGAGAAATATTCTTCCATTAACAGGTAAGGATTTTACTTCCCCGGGTTTATTTCCATTTATAAGCTAAATTAATACAACTCAAATACCCTTGGTGGTTATATAAACAGAATTTGAAAATTTAAGTTCTAGTTAATATTCATAATTTCTTTGTAAAGATGAGTAACATAGCTATTTAGCAGCTGTTCAGAGCAATGCACAGGGACTTACAAAAAATTTCATAGTAATCAGCAGTTATCTTGATCTTATTACAGCTTAAAAATAAGCAAGAGTAAGCACAAAAAATTTTAGGCATAATTTTCTTACCCATAAAAAATAGTATCAAGGATGTCTCCTTCCCTCCCACCAGAGCCTGATCCAGTTCCTCCATAATTTAATAGCCATCTTGGAAGATTAATGGAATCAAATGTTTTGAGGATACTCATAGCATGTGTGTTTAATATATCAATAGTTTAATTGCTACTGAAGTGTGCAATGTATTTGACATCAAATATAGCCTGTAATAATGTTTACCATACAACACAAAATTCTCATACCTCCTAGTTTTTTCTGGAGGCATGTCACACTTCACATTTGATTTGTTAAAACCTATGAACACAAGACAGTTCAGTAAATGAGCTTGCCTGCGTAACCAACCCTTATTACTTTCAAAGCTAAATAAAGCAATGAATAAACATAACTTTACATTTTTCATCTACCCAAAAGAGTTTTGTGTTGTTAATATATTTTAAAACCATTACCTGTATCAAGAATTTAACTATGCTCTCTTAAAACTTTAGATTACGTAAGGACTTTTGAGCATCTAACATTTTTTTCTGAAGGAAAACTTAGTTTTAAACTTTCAAAGCTTCTGTTTTCCACACATAGTCCTTTTCTGTTTTCTGCACACATATTTTCTAGAAATGACATATAATTTTAATGGAAAATAAAAATGCTGTAGTCCCTACACTTTGAGCTTCTAGTCACCTTGCTGAGATTCTCAGCACCAGTGAAATAGCGCTGATTTCATGACGTGGATAGTAACTCAGGAACTGGACTAGGTTGTCAATGCCAATTCTTTTGTAACATATAAAACAAAACCGAAAAACATTTACCTGTCTCTAGCTTTACCTGGACTGCTTAATAAATGAAACCAAGAGCATGAGGAGAACGAACTACTGAAGGAATGACACAGAATCACATTATTCACATTATTCACTAAAGCTATGTTTGTTAGAGATTTTCTGTGTTTACTAAAGTATCTTCTTGTTTGGTTATAACCAAACTTTTTTTCTTGCCTTCCTCTGTTACAGTCTGACTCATCTGTTCAAACAGCTTTGATATCTTGGCAAATCTCAGGTGATTCTGAAATCTTCGTGCAGCAAAAGCATAAAGCAGAGGGTTAATACAGCTACTGATGAATACAAGTGCTCCAGAGATGTACACTCCTCTGCCTACAATTTCATCCAATGTCAAAGACATTTCCTCGTTAGAGAGTTCTATCTGAATTGAAATAATATCTAGGATGTTAAAGAGATGATGAGGGAACCAGCATAAAATGAATGCCACCACAATGCTGGCGATGAGCCGTTCCGATCGCTGCTTAGATTGGTAATTCATTCTGCTTATTCTTCTTGCAACACACATGTAACAAGTGCAAATAATTAAAAAAGGGATTACAAACCCTGCAAGAGTCTCCAGCAAAAGATATGACACTTTCTGTCTATTAGAAGAGTAGTTCCGACATGTGCATAGTAGTCTGCCGTTCATTTCTTCTGTCTCTTGAAATGGAATGACAGAAATGCCGAAAGTAATAGACAGGAACCAAATGAGGAACATGACCAAAGAAATCTTTTCTTTTGTTTTGTATCTTTGTATTGTGAAAGGGTAAAACACAGCCATTAACCGCTCGAAGCTCAGTGCTGTAATTAGAAATATACTAGCATACATGCTGCAGTAAATAATGAAAACCAGTATTTTGCAGAAGATGACTCCAAAAACCCATGAATCCGCGAAGGAGTAAATCCAAATTGGTAAGGTAATCAGTACAAGGACATCTGCAATGGCCAGGTTCAGGATCAGCAGGACTGAAGGAGATACTTGTTTCATTTTTGTACAAACAGTCCAGATGACGATGCAGTTTCCAGGGGTCCCAATAATAAATGACAAGCTCAGTATTATGCAGACAACTGACCTCACAATATTCCATGTTGAGTGGATGCTGCTTTCCTCAGCTTGACTCATTCTGGAAATTTTTCAGTTCTTCTTGGCTGCCAGTATCCTCAGTGCTTTGTACTCTGCTTTTATTTGAAGATGACTACTCGAGAGAAAGTTCTCTAACTGATATTCTGTAGACTAGTATGTCATATGAGCTCACAGCCTATAGCTCTCTTCTACAAACATCTGACCACATATGGCAGTTCCTGTTGTTTAGGAAGACAGCGTGCATTTCTGCATACAAAGCAAAAATAAAAATACAGTGCAGCACCTGACTTTGCATTTAGTTATACAGACGTATGTACTTAGTAGCTTTTAAAGCATGTTGGTGGTTTTTCAAAAGTGTCCCTATTCAAAGCTTTGTTACTTTGTTAAAGTTACTGATCTAATGAACATCTATGAGGAGAAAGAAACCCACTTTATGCTTTTCTACTCTTGCTTGTATGAATAACTCAACATTTTATATAAGCCAAAAAAAGAAGGGTGGCAGATAAACCACAAATGTGCATTATGTATTTGACATGAAATTCCATTTCAAAGCATAAAAAATTGTGCTTACTGCTTTTGGGTTATCTTTTTTAATTGAGCAGAAAACAGTAAATCATGCCTTAGAAATACACTGGCATAACAGAAATCAACATTTGTCCTATAGTGAGACTGTACTGGCACAATAAAGCAGGTGGGAGTTGTATTTATAATGCTCTGGGAAACTACAGTCCTTTAGCCAAACAATAAGCATCAGAATAATCTGAATATAGGGTTATAAGAGGAAATGCTCAGTGCCAGACAAAATATACATTTTTACATTGTACTCCTGCTGCACCAGCAGCTTTATCTCCTTTATCTTCTAGGAAACTTGGTAGTCGGTGCAGTATTCAAATCCTGTGTGAATCCTAAATTCTTCAGTGTCTGGCTGAAGAATATGAAAATATTTTGTTATCCTGATGTCAAAACATCTTTTGAAGTTCATTTAAAAAAAGTTAAAGGAGGAACTAAAACAGCAGCACGAACAGAAATGTTCGAGTCACAGAAGTGAAACTGGAAGGGTATTTTCCATAAAAAAGATGCACAGAAAAAAAGGAGTTATACTTAACGCTTTCTCTTAAATTTAAGACTGTGATACAGATTATGTCCCTAAGCGCTGAGGTAAATTTTACAAACCAGGCAAATGTAGTGCATAATATTAAGTTGAAAAGTACCTTTCACCATGGAGAAAGGATTGCAACACCTCCTTCCCCAAATCAGCTTAGTTGGTTTTGATCTCATAAGAGTATAATGAGATCAAAAGCAAGTCCAGAATAACTCTACTGAAGTCAAGTATTATATCTTCAAAATACTATTTGTGTAGCAAAGATTTTAATTTGGATTTAATCTGCTACACGATTCTAGTTCCTTTTATTTTTAACTACATTTAGGACAGATTGGGTAGGGGAAAAACCCAAACCAGTTGTTTGTATTCTAAAGGGAATTTTTGAAAACCGCTTGTGAAAATCAACTGATAAAAGGAAGTGCTGGGCAATGTCTCTTCTTCTAATGACATCACCTTTATACACATCATTATTTCTCCAGAAGCAACTTTGGAAGGGCTCATTAGTGATTTGTTGCCAGTGGCATATCTAGATTGGACAAAGTTGCAGGTTTTTATTGGGGGGTGGGAAATCAAGGAAAGAGGCCCAGTACCTCTTGTCACCCAATGCCACAGGTACAGGCAGGTTCTTTTAGGTAAAGTCTGAATCTAGATTATGATTATTGCATCACACTCTGATTATTAAGAATTTGAACTGATCTGCAGAGGACCCAGGTGACAAAAAGCCTAGGTAACTACAGACTCTAAATCGTAAGAAAGCTACACCAGTTACTAGAAATTCTGCTTAACTGAAAGCTATGATAACTGCTAAAAATTCCATGTACCAATAAGCTATGCTGACTTCTAGAAATTGTAGATAACAATAAGCTATGATGATACTAAAAATTTTAATGTCATAATAAAGCTCTAGTCGTAACTAAAACCCTGTGGCCAGTCTTCTTTCTACCAAGGATCCCTAAAAAACCCCCGTATGTTCCTGTAGCACTGGGTGACACTTCTGTAAGATTTTCCTCTTTAAAACTTTACTTTTGGTGGCAAAGAGCAATTGCCTGTACAACTGTTGGTATCAGCATTAGCATAGTCCTGATCCAGTGGTGTATGAATCTGGTTGAATTTCCGAAGTGTCTGCCCCTACATTTTTCAGAAACATGTTTCTCCACTTCAGTCAAAGTTTACTTGCCAGATGGCCTCTGTCTCTGGCTTTATCTTTCATTTAAACAAGAAAACAAATTAATCTTAGAAATGCAGCAACAGTCTGGGATTTCTGTTTCAAAAAAGATCCCAGACAGGTGTTGAAATGCTAAGATTTCCTTGAGTAAGACTCTGAAGACAGGCTATTAGACTTAATATTACAGATATTAGAGTTAACATTAGCTAGGGAGCATGTTTCTGAAGAGCTCTGTGTGACTGCTGGATTACCATGCAAACTTCAGATTATTAGTTGTCTTTAATATTCTCTAATAGTAACTGTAATTTGTCGAATTTACACTAGTACACAAACTAGATGGGAAATTTAACAAATATACTCATTAACAAGGGGAGCAGTGTAGTATGTTCAATAGCATGCTAAACACAACAGTGGCTAAACAACTCAGTATCTTACTCATTCTCCTTACCAGCTATGGGTGGGGCTTTTAATGTAGGAACATGCAGTTGGACTTCTGACCACATAAGCTTTGGTCTAATTCTATTAGCAGCAGTGACATTAGGCTGCATTTCTGTGTTTAAAAAACCCAATCAATCTAAACCTGTAAAGTTTTTTGTGTGTATGTAGTGCAACAGTTCAGGCATTAACACAGGAAGCTTTGTTACCTTTAGATTGGCAAATAATTTCCAAGCTCAAGAAGTCTATGCTACTGCTAAGAAACATTTTGAGTAGAATTTGCTTTGGATTGAATATTAGGGTGGTGTTTCATTCACCCTTTGAATTATTTATTTTTCTTTGTATGCATGTATGAGCTTCCCTCTGGTGGGTGATCTCTTAATTTACCATTGAGTATTTTCAGACAGCTGTGTTAAGACCACAAAATGTAAATCGTAATTGCTATTTCCAGCTTTTCATATTTAATTTGAGAATCAGAATTTCACCTCAAGATGCTGAAAGCCTTTGGGCTTACAGCCTCTGCTCAAAGTGCATCTATCCCTCCACGCTGTAAGAACATGCCTTTAACAATTTACAGAGTAGCTGATGCATGGGAAATCTGTATCTCATAACTTGAATGAATAGCTGTACCAAAAAAGACTTTTCAAATCCTCTCTAATTTTTGTCTTCAGAAGGATCCCCTGGATGTCTGTCTGCTAAGTGATTGTAGAATAATGATCACCAAGTATCATACATCTGCTGAGATGCTGGAAACGGATGTTAGTAACCTTGTGTGCCTGCTGATGCTGAAGGGAGGAAGTTCCTAGTCTAAACCCCTTAGTCCTTCAGCCATGGCAACAAGGTGGTATTTGCAGGATTGGTATAGCTGTTTTACAACAAACTCAGTCCAATGGCACTATTAACAGTGTGAAAGTGCCACACTTTGCCTTGGTCAGAGAATTATGGGCTGGTTCATAGCTGATTTATATGTTGCTTTCTGGATTACAGAAGGATCTCCTATATAAATGGGATCTTGCGGTGGCATGCAGCAATTTATCATGTCTCTCTCTGCCCTGCAACTACAGCAGAGGGAAGTGCAGTGTAGGAATAGACACGTACCAGACATGTCTAAGCTCTTGCAAACACTGTTTGTGACAGCAGCCCATGAGGTAGCAAGTACAAATGAGAACACTCTCAGTGCTTCATTATCACCAGAGAAAAGAACTTAGTAAAGAGCTACCCTGGGATGAGTTCCAGAATGTAATAAAAGATGTGTACCTTGCACTATAAATAGAAAGTCTGAAATATTCGGTGCTGTGTGCATTGTTGTTAGTTAGTCTTCTAATAATATCACAAAATTCTATCCCTTACTCAGCTCAGTAGCAAATAACAATGGTTTTATATGACTGGCCAGAGAAAAGATTTCCTCTTTGTTATGTTCAGGGAAAACTGCTTTTAAACTTGTGACGGGAAGAGTGCTTACAAGGCACCTGTTGTAAGTGCACTGATAGTGTTGGTACCTTTCTTACCCTAACAGAATGATCACAGACAATCAGAACATGTTTTCAGCAGTTGTGAAATTATTTAAGTATATGGTGAAATATTTCCCTTGTACAGACAGGTTCATGAGAGTAGAGGTGCTAATTAAGATAGTGGAGAACTATAATTCTGACTATAAGCAGGAATATGAGTAACAATTACACAGAGATTATGGAAAAGCTTAAAAATATATTTTCTCAACATTATTATGTGTGTATATAGTTTTAATTTCCTGTTATTCATAGTGCAAGCTTTCAAAGAGTAAATGTATAGATTTGTTACAATTTAAGGTGAGACTTTGGCCTGTTCTAAATCAGTTATCACTAAGTTGCTGTTTGTATGTACACAAACTGTTGCTAGCCAGAATCCTTATCTACACAAGCATATCTGGCACCACAATTGCTACTGAGTAAATCAAATACATTGTTTACATACTCTTCCTTTTGAGTAATTAATTACTGATGACAAACACTGCTTCGATGATTTGCTGTCAAACGTTATTCGTTTTTTCTTTGTTGTTTAGCTAAACCTACTACCATTCCTACCTCGTTTGCTGGGATTGCATGTGAATATTATATAACTGTAGCATCAGTCTCTTTTTGTTATTCAGCAGTGTAATGAAAGTCCTGAGCAGTGCACCTCTTAGTGAAGCACCTGTGATTAACAAACCCCCAAACCCGTACTTCCTTGTGCCCGTGCTGCAGATGGTAACTGTTGTTTTGCACGTAAACCAGTCATACACCATTTCCTATAGCGTACACTGAAGTACAAGGCTCTGTCCGTGTAGTTACGTATTTTGAACACAGGGTGGCCCTGGCGAACCATCGGTTGGGTTTCTGGCTAAGACTGCAGGCCAGAGAGGCCCAGCCCTGCGCTG